TAAGTGTAAACCTTGATTTGTTCTGTATCAAAATCCTAGTTTCTTGTAAGACTGTGTATTCTTGCATCATGAATTATTGTTCTATGTATAAATTATACCTATTATAATTTATATGTACTTTCTGAATGTGTATATAATTGTATTTAGCATGTAACCCCTTGCTCAACGTGTTACAAAGGTGTTTGAATTGATGAAATAACTTTTATATTTATATACATACACAATTTCATATACAAGTAAATTTTAAACGACACTCGGACAAATAACCGGAACTATAAGCCCACATCCAAACAAGGAAAAGGACCCAGAATGAGTTATCAGTCCTAAGCCTTTTAAATCTTATTTATATACATACATATATATATATATATATATATATATATATCTATATATATATATGAATTTTGGGGAAAAATATAAGATTATAAAAGAGTTTGATGTTTTGAGTATTTTTGGATAATTTAATGTTATTTTATCATGATTTGAATCATGATTTTATAACACAAAGTTCTTGTGTTATGCTTGTATTCCCCCCCCTCCCCCCCCTTAAAACAGTAGAAATTATGAAAATACGGGGGTATGAACTCACTTGATAGGTGGTGAATTGGACGGAGTTTCGTTTCATGAAAATGAGTTTGTTTGTCGAGAAACCGACTCAAATTGGGCAGAGTTTCGACAGGAGAGAGGTTACTTCTCGGGAATCACGGGGCTTCGAGGCTTGCTTAGGGTTCGAGACTTGATACAGGGGCTTTAGGGGTTGTATATGAGCTTATGGGAGTGGAAAATGTGAAAGAGAGTGAATTTAGGGGTGAAAATGTAAAAAAATTCGGAACCCTCGCATGCCTTATATCGGCCGAAGGTTCGGACCCGAGGCCATGCGAGGCTGCCTCGCATCGGACAGGTGGCGAAGGAAAGGCTACTTCGGACCACAGGCTCGCAGACGTGGGAGGCTCGGATTGGACCTAACCTCGGTCCAATGGGAAGAGGACACGTGCGAAGGAGGGTGTCCGAGGGGTGTCTCCGGGGCATCTCATGCGAGGTTGTTCGCTTCTTAGTGGACCTCGGCTGCGGTCCAATCAGGAGGTGCCACGCATGGCTTCGGTCCACTCAGCAGCTGCCACGTGCGAGGTGACGTGTCACATGCGAAATTGCCCGGTTTTCCTATTTTTCTTTATTTTTGTGCCAAAACTTGCGAAAATCATAACTTTCGCATACGAGCTCCGTTTTTGGCGTTCTTTATATGCACGCATAGGTAAAATCATACTCTAGGACTTTCGTTTAGACTTCGTCGGCTAATTTTGACTTTATTTTTAATATTGTTATTTTAAACAGACCGGGACGGGAATCCGTTAAAAATTCATAACTTCTTCATCTGACGTCCATTTTTGTCTGTCTTTTTACCGTTGTACTACTACCGACGAGACCTTCAATTCTCGTTTAGGTTGTATCGGCTAAAAATCGCTCGATCTTTATTTCGAGTTTTTAGTTGTACACTGCTATACTGGAACTTAGAAAAATCATATCTTCCTCATATGAAGTCAGATTTTTCCGTTCTTTTTATGAAAGTTCTCGGTTTAACATAAACTACAACTTTCATTTAGATTGTTAAGGCTAAAAAGCCTTTTATCGAAAATTCAGTTTTTACACTGAACAGTGTTTTGCCGGTTTTGTCGCGGATTTTCGATTGGTCATAACTTCTTCGTTATAACTCGGATTTTCGTGTTCTTTATGTATTTGGAAACCTTGTTACAATCTCTATCACTTGGTTAATCGAGATTGCTAAATAATTTATTTTTGAGGGTCAATTATGTAAATATGCACATTATGCTAAAATTTCTCTTTATTATTATAAAAAGAACTACACATTGACCTATACTATTACATAGGTTTGAAATAACGATTTGTTACCTTTAGGCCTTTGCATGGCTGAAAAGGTTACAACTCACTCTAACCTTTTATCCCTTTTTCTCATTAAGACCAAAACTCATGCTTAACCCCATAACCACGACCAAGTTTGGATTTTTATAGATCCACAACACATCCTAAACTGAAATGGGTCAGATCAAGGCTTAGGGAGACCATTTACACCAAAAAGTCTCCATCTTGGGACAAAACCCTAGAAAATGGACCATGAAACACAAAACCAAAATAAAGAGGAAAGTTCTGAGCTTTTTACCTCTAAGTGAAGCTCCTCCCTCTGAAGAACTCAGATCCAAGCTTGAACTCCAAACCCTAGCCTCCACAAGCACCTCCCCTTCTTCTTCACTAACACACAAAGGCACTTTCTAGCTCAAAACACTCACACACAAGCTTTAGAACGAAGATAATGCTCTCTTATGGTTTCTCTCTGTGAAATGGTGGCTGAGGATAAGGCCATAGCATTCCTTATATAGTGCACAAGTCTCATTTAGGGTTTGAGTCTGGGCCCACTACGCCCAGCGTAGTTCAAGGTACGCCCAGCGTACCGTGAGTATTCCGCGTCCAACTTAAGTGCATGAGTATGCGCAGCGTACTCTTCAGTACGCCCAGCGTACTCATTTGCCATAACTTTCATTTAAGGGCTAATCTTGACAACTTGAAGAAGAGGAAGGGTTAAATAGATATATCCAAATTCCCGGATGTTACATTGTCAAGACTCGAACTCAAGTTATTTCTTTATCTCAAACCCGAAACATGTCATCCAGGAACCAAATAATGAGATATAAGTTACGCATGCATTATTGTAAAGTCATGAGCAAATTAAAGGATAATTTCATGTAAAACATGCTCTCTGGAAAAGGCTTGGGACCATAAGTATGTTTAGGAAGGTGAAAATCAACGTTATTATAAAAATAGTTTTAGCGGTTATTTTGTAATGTGTTGATTTGTGAAGAAAATAACACAAGAAAAAGGTATAATAAGGTAAAAAGAGACGGGCATGAGGAAGGAAGAAAAGGAAAATAGAGACGAGAGTAGAGAGTAGAAGAGGCGATAGGTGGGCAACATAAATAACGAAGAAAGACATGAAAGGCAACAGTTAAATTGAGTAACAAAGAAAATGTAAAAAAAGAAAAAGAAAGAAAGACACCACCAAATAACAAAAAGGCCTAAATGGGTCTAATCAACGTCTTACATTGCATTTGCATGACAAATCTTCATATAATAAAGGGTTTAGGTCATTTTTAGTTACCGAACTTTTCTGAGTGTTTGATTTTGATCATTTACTTTGTTTAAACCACTATTAGTCACTGAACTTGTTTATTTTTGTTCAATTTGGTTACCCTAACCGGTGATAGTCGATATAACATCGAACGACATTGTTAATGTTATAATTAGTCATTGAACTTTTCTTAGTGTTTTAGTTTAGTCATTATACTTTATTAAGCTACCATTAGTCACTGAACTTGTTAATTTTTTTTTTCATTTTAGTCACTCTATTTTTTTAATATCATTTATAAAAAAAAATTAAAAAAACTACAATTTTTTTTTATTTCCTCCACAACTAAACTTGTTACATCAATTATTTTAGAGTAAATCATATGAATAATCCTTGTGATTTAGGGTAACATGCACATTTAATGTTTTCCATTTCTTCATATAAAACATAGAGATGAAGATGATTGGGTCCGTTTCTACCAACGGCAATAGCGATGTGGTGGATAAAGGAAAATTAGTCTTTTTTTAAGTCATTGGGAGCGTTCGAGTTAAAAAAGTGAATGACTAAATATGCACGCTACCTTACATCACAAAGATTATTCATATAATTTACTCTAAAATAATTGATGTAACAAGTTTAGTTGTAGAGAAAAGGAAAAAAATAGTAGTTATTTTTAATTTTTTTATAAATGATAATAAAAAATAGAGTGACTAAAATGAAAAAAAATAAATAAATAAACAAGTTCAGTGACCAATGGTAGATTAAACAAAGTATAATAACTAAAATAAAACATCCAGAAAAGTTCAATGACTAATTATAATCTTAACAACGTCGTTCGATGTTATACACCTGCGATCATCGGTTAAAATAACTGAAATGAACAAAAATAAACAAATTCAATGACCAATTGTCGTTTAAACAAAATATAATGACCAAAAATAAAACATCTAGAAAAGTTTAGTGACAAAAAATGACTTAAACCCTATAATAAATTAATAATCAATGGTGTGATTTTCATGTATGTATATATGTGTTGTTTTGCGATTACATGTCACTTTTGCCTTTACGCTAAAGCCTAAAGGAAAGGAAAACGTTTATCAACTTTATCTTGACAAAAGAAAATTACCATTTTTATACACTTCCTTTAAATTATGTTGTATTCTAATTTTTGTCTATAAAGTCACTTACGAATGTAATTACCTCATGCCCATGGTTGTGAAAACTTTAAGATATGTAAAAAAAAAAAAAAAAAAAAAAAAAAAGGAAAAGATTTAGCAAGTGATGATGATTCATGTCACAGCCTAAGGATGACAAGAGATATATCAAACATAGCAAAAATGTAAATATTTAGTATTAGACAGTCAGATGCTTCAAGTTGAACCACCCACCCTGCATTTCAATTCAAACCATCTGCAACGCAGAGTCTCTTCATGTAAACTTTAACCCTTTTATATAATATTTACTAAGACATAGCAACCTACTCTCAATCATTTGTGTATTACTATATTTATAGCATATCCTGCTTTCATTTCTTTCTTTCTTTCTTTCTTTCACATTCACAGCATTGCAGTTGCACCATCAGTTTTGTCCAACTTCATTATACTTACATTTTTATTTGCTTATTTTATTAGAACATTATATCAATTAAAATTGGTTTGGATTTAGAAAAAAAATTTTCAATGTACAATGTTGTAATAGAAAAAACTGAAAGTAAGATGCTACAAAAAAACAAATTAACGGAAGTACATTGCTCGTTTTTCATTTTCATAATTCCGTCTACGTTGTCTCGATTGAAATAAATCAAAACTGATTCCAGAGATAGTAACAAAAAAAATTCCTTTTCAGGGTCTTTAATATGTTTGTACATTATAGTAAAAGTAAGAAAAGACAGACATAAGAATAGCTAGTTGGCTTGAAATTCAAGAAACATCCTTAGCTTCTGTAGAAGAAGGTCACGGGTGGTGGGAGCTGAAGTGGCAATCCAGTCCTTGTCAAGCAGTCCAGCTTTGGAGCTGGTGAGCATTTGTTGATGGAAATTTGAGACGATTTGGTAAATTGAAGTCCTGAGAATGTCAGCCATGGAGTATGCTTTTGAGTAGTAAGGGCTGCCTTTCTTGTTTGATGATGATGCTGTTCTTATTGTTGTGTCTCTCCTTGTTGGGCTCAATGCAGCCCATTTGATATTGGCAGGCCCATTTAGATACTGGTTGGGTGATTGGTTTGTCTTTTTCCCCATTAAAGTTTCAACAGCTAATAAGGCAGCCAAAAGGGTGGAGAGAGTGGCGGCATTGGAGCCAGAGAGCTGAGCAACCCCAAAACGGTCTTCTTTGTGGGAACGTACAGTGAGTGAAGCTGCAATACGAGCACACCATGCACATACCTGCCAATTCACAGACTGGAATATCAATCAATTGCTTCATTATTTTATGTTCACAACTACAATATGTGTATCTCTGCTAGATGCAATGACCAAACAAAGTAATAGAAGCTCATTAAAAGTTAAAACCCAAAGCAAGATTATAATAAGAAAATATATCTTCTAGTTACTTTTACAAAATAATACTCTACTTCAATTATAACCGGTGATATTTAATAAAATAACAAATAAAAACATTTGTGTCGTAACTTACCCACTAAGAAATGAAAATTAACAAAATGAATTACATTCCATCCATCAAGCAATTAACTTTAAGAAAACGGAATATTTATATGGTCGGCAGCAAAATAAGTAAATAACAAGTTCAAGTGTTAAACAAATTCAAAACTAAAATAATCTGTCTCTAGCCTAATCTTTGTGTCTAACTACAAAATTAAAAGCAACAAGAGGTTAATAAATAATAAGACTTATTTTTAACCTAAACTGGAACAATTATTATAATTTATAATTATGTATTGTGAATCCCATATTGCCGTAAATACATAGCTTAAAAAGAAGAGGTGACCTGAAAGTCATAAAATGGTTCATGTAGACTTGAAAGCAGCTGAGTTGAAGAACATAACTGATGAGACAGTTGGAATGACTTGTCTTCACTCAAATCCAGTGTGAGCTGTTCCAGGGGCTTCAAACATACAGCTATCACTTTTTTGTAGGTCTCACCAGTTTCTTCAAAGAATGCAGCTCGACGCCAGGTGTCAACATTACTCTCACTCACCATACACAAGTCAAGATAAGCAAGGTAACGCACAACTGACCTTTCACTTGTCTCCTCAAGGGCTGCAAGAAGATGATCGCTAGGGTTTGTTTCTGCTGCTGCTGATCCCTTTGGAGGAGCAAACAGATACCTCTTTGTGAGAAACACCTAAAGTATACACCCAAATTTTCATATTATTTAGTAAGGATATGCAAAAAAGATTGACAACCAACAAAAAAAAAAAAAAAAAAAGATTGTCTTTAAACCTGAAGCAGATGAAGATTCAGTTCCCAACAGAGGAACACCACAACACATGCAAAATAGAAAACGATCTGCTCAATGACAAGACCCCCGAACGCCAGCTGACGACCCTTGTGGTCATTGATAAAGAAAGGCAGCACCAATGAGAGTAGGTACCCAGCACTTGAAAGCTTAATGGCTTTTACAACTGCCTTGCGCACACCCATTTTGTAGCTGAAGAAAACAGGCCGCTGTCAAGATGAACATAAACATCAGCAAAAGGGAACCTCCTCACCAAATGGTACAACATTACATAACAAATCGATGCTTTGCCCATTTGTTGCAACAACCGGTTTGAAAATGATTGTTTGACTCCTAAATCATATCTACAAATACGCTACCTAAACACTATAAACTAGAGCCTCTAAACTTCTTAGATAATCCCTTTCAAAATGCACATCCAAACACCCACAAGCCATCTACATGCTTATGTTTTACAAATACTAGTATCAACCAAGACAACTAGAGGAGATCCAATAAAAACCATACGAAATGATGAATAAAAGCTCCCTGTACTCTGTAAGATTACAAATGAAAGTGTTTAGCGTATGAAGTTTCAGAAATCGACCCTTCTATAAACAGTTAAACGAATGTGCATTTACTTAGTCAATAGAAATTAAATACGTTATGCTTGAGATATAACTATAAGGGAAAAAGGTTTAGTCACCTGAACGATGGGGAAATCCAAAACCCATCTCCTAGTGAGCACATAATGTGATCCGTAAATCAATCCAACAGCCAAACCCCTTAGCCCTAATGCTCCAAAAACCTGAGACCCAGAAAGGCAAACAACAGACAGAAAAGCAGACACCCCGGAGGAAGCTAGGAACAGTATAAAGCTCAATGTAATCCTGGCCCTCCGTCTAAAATCGGCAGGCAAGGGCTGGCCTCCATGGACGAAGATGAGTTTAAGTATGCCGAGGAGGAGTTCGATTGGTGAAACTCCGCGAACGGGTTGAGGAGAGGATACCAGGAAGAGGGAAGTGGAGAACAGAAGGAGGGAGAGTTGGAAGAAGAGGAAGGCAAAGACGGCGGCGGAGAAGGTGGTCGATGGGGCTAATAAGGCAAGCAGGGTTTTGCAGAAAAAGTAGACTAGGGTTGATTGACATGATTGCCAGATTAGAAACCCTAGGAATCTGTCCTTGATGATCGTGGTGGTATTTCCTAATCTCCCGATCATTGCTCTTGTGACTTCAATCATTTTTCTTCTTCTTCGACTGTGAGAGAGAGATATATATGGTGATATGAGGAAGAAACGGCGGTGGCAAGACTAATAAGAGCAGAGGCAGCAACCAATTTTGGGGTTTCCGGGACAAAGTGTTAATGGGCGGGAAGAAATAATATCATCACCCAAAATATCACTTGTGTTTATGAGTTTTTTTAACTTAATGAATTTGATTGATCCCATAACTTAATCTATTTCTTTTTTAATCACAAAGACTCCTACTTTTGTATTTTGTTGCGGAGATTGTTCATCGCAATGTTTTACCTAATGTTTTAAAAACCGATCAGCTGAATAGGTTGGATCAGGAACCGGAGATGATGGTGGTTCAAAAACAACCAATTTTATATCAATTTTTAGACCGGATCGAACCGGTTGGTTTCTTCATAAACTGAGTTCAACTGGTGTGATAGAACCAGTTAAAAACCGTTTGAACCGGTTTATTGGGCTTTGATAGTTGGATTTCACTTAGTCCATTAAAAAATAATTTGTTTCCAAAGAAAATTGAATAGCTCGATCGATCATGTTATCTAAAATGTACATAACTTGAACGCTGACGCACACAACTGCCATATGTAGACCGACGGTTGAACCGGATAAACCAGCAGTCGAACCGATTGAACCAAGAACCGGCCATTATATCAATTCAACTAAAAAACTTGTTTTTAAAACATTAATTTTACCCTAAAATTTAAAAAAAAACAAGTGTGATTTTTAGTTCATAAAAAAATGTAGGGTGGAGTGAGTGTGGGTGTGAGACTTTTATATCGTCTTCTATTACTTTTAGTATAACATGATATTGGTCGTTAGGTTTATAATCTTCGACTATTATCTTGATACATAGTTTATTTTATTTACTTTATAAGAGCTATGTCCTCTGAAATGACTGTAGAACTTTTATATAACTATAAAATCTTATTTAATTATGCATCTTGGAATCATGGGACTAATCCGTAAATGTTTTTTTTAATTTGAAATATTAGACATTATTTAAAGTTATCTATAGAAAGATGTTTCATACATGGAATATGTAGGAAGTTTATTCAACGGAAATCGGTGTTCAATTACTTCGAGAACACAACATATGGTATATTACATTGGAATTTTTGTGGGACACATTACAATATTTGTGTTGCATGCTTTGGTATATTTGTTAGAAAAATATTGCAAATTAGATATAACATCGAGTATACTAGTCGTCTGTAGGAAAGTATAGGGTTTGTAGGGGAGATCTGGATACCAATTTGGATCGTGAGAACACTTTCCAAATTGATATTTCTATCCTATGTCCGGATGCAAGAAATTCAGTCTAGGATAATCCAAGTGGATACTTACGATTCTAAGCACAAAAATTGGAAGCCAAATTGCTAGAAAGATTTTGTGAGTGTATGAAAACCGAAAGCTAATTTTCGTGTATCTTTTCCATAAAGAAAAGTCGTTTATATAATAAATGAGATTAGGGTTTCATTAGGGTTGGGTCGTCATTAGTTTCTTTGGAAGCAAGTCAGGGTAATCCGGATTTTAATGAGGATTTAGGGTTACAAAAACTAACGAGTTTCGTTAGTTTTACCATAAATCACCCTCAACAATCTGAATTTCTCACTATGTTCCCATATGTAAAATTCGGAGAGGTGTCAGCGGGACCCCAGCCAGGGGCTCTGCCCCTTAGACCCCGCTAGGGGCGCTGCCCCTAGACACCGCCAAAGTGTAACATCCCAAAAACACAGTCCAAAAATTTCATTTTTAATTTATAAATAAAACCATAGTAACCCAAATCATCTCATAAAAACATAAGCGATAGTATCTCAAAACATCATATCAAAACACTATATCAAAATCACATGTCCAAATATCAGAGTAAATCATCCCAGACTAAACGTTGTGGTGTGTGCAATGCAGTCATCCTGAGCTCTTCCCCTTACTAGCGGAAGTACCTGAAACCAAAACTGAAAACTGTAAGCACAAAGCTTAGTGAGTCTCCCCAAACTACCACATACCATACACATAATCATGCTACTAGGAGATACGGGCTCCGCCACACTCTGCTAACTAGGAGATACGGGCCCCCGCTTACACTCCGCTGACTACGAGATACGGGTCCCGCCCACACTCAACTATTTACAAGATACGGGCCCCACCCACACTCGGCTAACTACGAGATACGGGCCCCGCCCACACTCAACGAACTATGAGATACGTGCCCCGCCCACACTCAGCTACTAAACATACATACAAGTATCACACAGACAACAAGTATAGCTAAATCTATCAATCAGTCCTATATACATACTCAAATAATGCTATGAGATACGGGGCCCGCCCACACTCAGCTACTAAACATACATACAAGTATCACACAGACAACAAGTATAGCAATCCAACAATCTGACTGATATCTATACTCGGGTAATAATAAGATACAGGCCCCACCCACACTTTGTGTTCCTATCAAGAACATACAAACTACACGGGCCGGCATTAGGGCCTTCGACCCGTTCAAACCAGGAGGAAACTCACCTCGCACTGCAGACGATCCCTGGCTGCTGGCTGCTGGCTGACAGATTCCTGAACTGTCAACATCAAAATAAACCCAATTAACAATCGAGTTCCAATGCATAACCATAAGTCCATACTTGGGGTAAAAAGACCATTTTACCCCTAACCTAACTTGGTCCAAGACCAAGGCCCAAACTCATACTCTGAAGGCCCAAAAGTCAAATAATCAACCAAGGCCCAATTATGGCACAATTTTCCAAATTGGGCCCAAACCCCTTACATGGGCCTTACCCTAATGCCCACCCAAATATAATAGTCCATATACTTGTTCTCAGATGGCCCAACATGAAACCAAACACCTAAGCCCAAAAGAAAGGCCCAACTTGAAGCTACGATTAGGGTCAAGTATTCTTACTTAACCCATTAAGGACTTAATCCATTAAGTCCATCACTCTACTAGGCCATTCATACATTGTAGTCGGACATAATTCAAAATTCCAATCTAACAGTCCAAACGTGAGTCCCGGCAAATCCCAAACTATCATTTTCAAAATTAGGGTTTTCTAAACCCTAATTAGGGTTTCCAACCCAATCACAAGCCAACTAAGCCCAAGATTAAGCTATTGGGCCGATTAGGGTTTCACTATGTCAAGCACCACCCACTGCCACCTCGGGCAGTGGTGGTCGACGGCGGCACACGGCGGCAGCCACTACCTCACGGTGGTGGTGGTGGTTTTTCCGTCGACTTTCAACCGAGAATTGTCCAACCAACGACACACCATTACAATACATGCATTTCCACAATTTCACACACACACACACATCCACCTCCCACGGTGGCTGGTGGCGGCAGAAGGAGGCTATATGGCGGCAGCCACCCATGGTGGTTGTTTGCAATTTTCGACCATCTATACACACACACACTCGACCGGACATGCACTCACTCGCCACTCTAAGCTGAGTAAGCACCATACACACGCAGTGACACACACGACGTCGCCATCCTTGCGGTGACAGATGGCAGCCGAGGGACGTAACGAGAGGGGAAGTCGTCCGGAGCGACGACGGCGACGGGACTCAGGGAAATAGCGGAAGAAGCGAAAGAGCACATTACCGGGGGAAGGAGATGCAACAGCGACCACAAACTCACTGATCTTCGCAGTCACCGGCGACGGCAGCGTGCGAGGTTTGGATCCAGCCTTCTGGCTTCGTCGGCAGTGGGCGTCTCAGTAGGGTGCTCGGTTGTTTAGGGCGTCACCGGCAGCGGCTGTGCCGGTCGATCTTGGCTAAGTGGCGGCGGCTGAAGAGGTTGGCGGCTGGAGAATATAATCTAGGGTTAGGTTTTGCCTTGGTGGTGCTTCATAACACGGAAGGGAAATGGCGGGTCCTTAAGCTTCCATCCCATTTTAAAACTTCACTCAAATTGGCACATTCGGCCCCTCCTTCTCAATTCATTACAATGTAACTCCATAGTTTACCCTTTAGCCCTTGTTTTCCCAAAAATCATTCACTACAAGTCCATTTAATACAATATAAACTCCAAATTCCCACAATTATAATATTTAACTCCCATAGCTAACACTGATATATTATTATGGATTGAGAACTTCACTTAAATAATAATACGAAATATATTTCACATCTCGGGGTTCATTTATTTATTTTATCTAATTAATTAATTCAAACAGAATGTTACAATTCTCCCCCACTTAAATTAGATTTCGTCCTCGAAATCATTCCTTACCAATCCCAGCAAGCCAACAACCTAAGCAGCAAGGCTACAACCTCGAGCATACTATAGCCTTCCCAAAGCAACCGAAACCGACCCTCACAGGGCTTTCTATTTTGCCGATGAATGAATTCCTTGCAACATAATCACATTTACCCAATCTAAAATCTGAAGTCTCGTGATGGCCTGACTCCCTGACAGACCGTCCATACCAAATTATTGTCGAATCCAGTCCACTTATCTCCCAAGTAACTACTCAACTCCTGATAACTTGAGGTTCCCACCAGAAACAGTTGATGAGTTTGAGCCATAAGAACTTTCCTATGTGCACATGCAAACCCTAATGCTTGGATCTAGGTTTCTCTATTGAACATGCAATTTATCCAAGTCTTGCAAACCTTAGATCTAGTGAATACAATTCGAATTTGACATAAGAAACTCAGATCTAGATGATTACCTCTTGTAGCTTGCTTGATTCTTCTTGTCTTGGAGCTTAGAGTCACAATTGTCACTCCTCTAATGGCTTACAAACACCAACTAGAAAGAGGATGATTCGGAGAGAGGAGAGAGGTATGAAATCGGCCCTAGGGTTCCAAGGAAGCAAGTGTAGCCGATTTCCACAACCCAAGGGGTCTATTTATACTGTGAGCTTCTAGGGTTTCAGCCAAAACCCTAATGGACAACTTAATCACCAAGGAGCCCATGGAACCTTCTGGATTAAGGCCATGGACGAAAATATGATGGACTCCCATCATAATTTCGTTCACCCCTTGCTCCAGTGGGTTCCCCAGCCCAATAACTCAATTATCCAATAATTTCAGTTCAGTCCCCTATATTCAATTAATCTCTTTTAGTCACCAAATTAATTCTTAATTAATCTAT